GTAACTCTTTCTGCACTGGGCAGAACTTGCCTGGGAGGTTGCTTGGAGTTTAGGAGCTCATGTCAAATAAGTACTGCTCAGTATCGCTAAGAATCTGGCAAAATTTCAGGATCAGGATTAAATGTTTTCAGGAAACTTAGTTAGAATAAAATGTTCCAGCTTAACAGTGCTTAAGGCTCATGTTCTGTATGTACATAAAAGTACAGCATAGACTTGGCCGACACAAGCTTTTTTCAAGTCTGCTGTAGCAAACGGAACCTGGCTGAGGGATACCGCCTTTGTGATTAGATTTATTTATTTTATTTCATTAGTTAACAGAATCTGTGATCCATTAGCACTTATTAGCAACTTATTTAACAAATGTATCCAAAGAGTTGCCAGGGAGAAAAGGGTTTTCAATCACTATTGGCTCTTCTAGATGCATATCTGTAAGCTTAACTGAGACCTGTAACTTCTTGGATGCATCAGCCGTTTTGCTTGCTGCTAATTCAGTTTAACTTCTGTGGCCAGAGTAGCAAATGCAGTTCTGAAATTTATGGAAGAGACATATTTGTCTGTCTACTGATGCTAGCAAACCTATGTACTGCCACACTGATAAAAAAAACTCTCTGTTTTTAAAATTGTCTTGCTAATTGCTATCACTTTCTTCTGAGTGATGTTTCTGCAGAGGAGTGATTATTGCTCAGCTTTCTGTCCAAGTTAGGGGAAATGGGAATTTACATCCACTCTGAAAGCAGGAGTGTGGATAGCGACTGAGTAGACATTCCCACTTCAGCTGTGATCCAGAGAGGGAGGATAACCACAGTGGGGATGATGCTGGGACAAGGGCTTTGGCATGGAATTAGAGCTTGCTCCATGCCTGCCCAAACAGCTATTCTACATCTAAGCAAAGGACAGAGCTAAGCCGCATGTGTAAATGTACATGTGGATGCTGCAAAGCCAACCTCGATGTGCACGTGCTGTCTGCTGAGCCAGAAATTATCTTTGGCATATCTATGGGCATTTGAGCCTACGCATATGAAACGTGTCTTCTGCCTCCTCCATCCTGCCCTCGAGTCTTCTCTGAACACCCTGTTTCTGGGGACTTGCAGATTTTCCCTTGCAACATTCCTGATAGTCTAGAACGTGGATGGAAACTTCCACCCCCTTGTGCCTGGTGCCATTTAAAAGCGTAGTAGTCTCAAGTCTAATACCTAAACATAGGTCTGAACGGGTCTCTGGGTGTGAGAAATTCTTCTCACATACCCCAGAATGTAGCTGCAAATAAATTATTAACAAGGCAGCCTTATGTGCTTTTAAGACTTATATTTTCCTCTTCTGCTATTCAGGTTTTCTCTTGATCCCACCTATTAACACTCTCTGTTTAGACGTTGCTGTGTTGCTGAATGGGAGGCACTTTCTGCACAAGTAAGTCTCTGCAGCCCCTTGCAGGCTGCAGCTCATCTACTGAGCCTCCAGGGTGGTTTTTCCCCCTGTCCCTTTTGAATGACAGCCCTTGCCCCTCGTACTATGTTTTGCAGCTCTGGACTCCCGATCCTTTGTGCAGGACACCCATGTTGCATGCACTTTCTCAGAGTGCTATTCTGTTTCCAGCAGTGCAACTGTCCTAGAGCCTTCAAATGCATTTCTTCTGTCTTGGATCTGCTCTCTTGGAAAGATGAATTTTGCTGATTTCTTGTTCAAATTCTTGTCCCTCCTCCCATCCTATAGCTTGCAAGCTCATGAGGTTTAGCTAAAAAGTGTTTCACTCAGATGCCACCTATTGCCATCCCACTGGAAAACTTGACTGTAGCAGAAGCCTTAAATCAAAAGCCTGTGTGACAGTTTCTGATCTTTGAGCGGCTTTAGGGGCTGTCAAAAAGAAAAACATTCGTACCTAGTTAAAGTAAGTTGTGTGGTATGAATTGAGGCATTTGTCAAGTAGAGCCATGCAAAAGATTAAAAGCCGTGTCTGTCAGTGAAACTAGTGTATTTTGGCTTATGTAATTCTACAGGGGTTTTTTTGTGTTTTGTTTTTCAAGGAAACTGTAGGTGCCTTCAGCATTTTATCTAAAAAGTGAATTATACATTGCAGAAAGTATTTTATTCTTTATTTAACGGCTCTTCTTTGAACAACAAAAACTGTAAACTTCTTGCCGGGACTTGAACGGAAGTCATGGTGGTTCCCACTTGTTAATGATATTTTACAGTGACAGCCCTGTTCTGCTTGCCGTGTTAATAAAAATAGTAGCTCAGTGTCTGGGTTTGCACTAAAATTTACTGATAGCAGACTGCGGTACTCCCCACTCTGCATTGCCATGGTGTGTGCAAATAAGAGGTGTGTGCAAAATGTGACAGCAGGACTAATGCTTCAGTGATAATTCCATGAAAACAGTGAATATATTGTGCAGGGCTTCCCTGGCTGATGGAGCTGCAAGCAGAGAAGAACAAACTTGGTGTGTCTTGCACAGCAGAGATGGGCAAGAAATATTCACGGCTAAGTCTTGGTAGACCTTAATGAAACTCTATTCAAAAAAACCTCTCCAAACACCTTTATTCTTTAAAAAGTGGAACTTCTCATTTGTTTTAAATTATGAGAGATTTGGGACCATTCTTGTTGCAATGACATTTTTCTGTGAAGAAAAAAATAATTTGTTTTCAGAAGATATTGGTATTTTATATGGTTAAATATGAGTGTCTTAGATGGTTTAATCATTACCCAGGAATCTGTGTAGGTATTGGGATGACAGGCCAGCTAAATGAACCACTCCCTCCCTCAGTATTTTCTAACACGTTTGATTGCAGGTTATACAGAAAAATGTGCTTTCTGTAGCCTATATGATTTCTACAGCTGGTGCTGCAGGCCACGCCTGCACTGTTCCTAATGAAAGGGGAATATAAATCTCTCCATCGCTGACAACATTCATTCCCTTTGGAGGATGCTAAACCTTCCCTGCTTATGAGTAACCTCTGTCTAGCTTCTAAGGATGCTCTACAATGCTTTAACTCTAAACCCCACCAGGTTGTAGCAAATCCTGAGTGGATTCAAAGTGCTTCATGAGGAAGCCACATTCTTCCCAGCTACCAAGCCTTTAGCTCACACTCCTGAATGAACCTGGGGGAGAATGAGGGTTAAGGAGTGAATCTGAGTTGGGCTAGTGAGTATTCAGAGATGAGATCTTGAGATGGGATTCAAAATGGTGCAGCTTCCTTGAGCCTGGAAGATGGAAAGCTTTTCTGCTTTGTGCTGTGATGTGGAAGAAGGGGTGAATGGTCACTGAAGAAAGTCTGGTGCTTGAGACTGATTGTAATCAGGTGCTTGTACTGTGGTAATGTACTGTGGTAATACCCCACTGCTGGCATGCCTGATACTGAGGTGGTCCTGGAATCCCGGTTGTCCTAAGGAGGTGAGCTCAGAGACAGCACAGGGGTCTACAGGGAGCTTCAGCAGCCTGGACATAGCTTTTGTGTTGCTATTTTCTGCAGACAGTTGTGAAATGACCCTTTTTATCCATAAGCATAGAAGGATAAATGGCTTCAGCTAAAACCAGCTGGAGTTAGGCATGGGAGATCACACTACATCAGAGATCAGGAGGGAGGGAATAAGGCAACCAGAGGGAAACTAAATGCTAGATGGATCTCTATAGGATGTTTGCCCTTTTCTGAGTCTCTGGGCATGACATATTCTGTTTCAATTCCAGTAGTAAACAGTAAGGTCAGAGAAGATGTGACTGAGATCTCTGTGCTCATCCTGCCTGATCATTACCATTTTGAAAGTTAAGTTTCTGCAGGGAAATTTTCAGTCTTTTAATCAAATGCAATATACATCCAAATCCAGTCTTCCTCTCACTCAGCTCTATTGAGAAGAGATCAGGTGGAGAAAACTCATGCTCCTCTGGCATCTAAAGTAATCTGGGCTGAAACAGGAAAAGTTCTGCCAGGCTCAGCTGCTAACCTATGTACGGATTGAGATCTGATCCAAACAGTGTCACTCATAAGCAGTTGGCTCTGATACTTGTGTTATTCCAAGTATTTTCTGTCTTGGGATGCCTTTTGAAGTGCTCCAGTGAGTGTCTCTGTGGTGACCAGGTTCTCAGAGGTGTTTTGTCCTCAAGTCCCTTAAACATCAGAGTTTTTCAGTGGCACAGGAGTGGTGACTGGACATTACTCCTATAGAATAACGATACAGAGTCCATGGGGATGTGCTGGCTAAAGGACTTCTATTCTTGAGAGTGATGGATGGCATTTTACAGCAAGGATGGGTTATCCAAGAGTAATAGAGCCAGAGGGGTGATAACACTAACAGTTGCTTTTTCTTCCTAATAGTAGAGGAAACAAAAATGGAGAACTGTGAGGTGTGAGAGTAACACTCCTGTTTTACAACCGTGGTTTGAATAGGTGAAACAGCAACATTTCTCCTTAAGCAGGCTGCTCGTTTTAGAGCCGTTACGTGATTATAGAAGAATGAGGAGCTGGGGCAACTTCAAATAGGTGAACAGCAGAAGAAAGTGCCCAAATGGCAAACATCTGTCTTTCTGTCTATCTCTGCCTGTCTGTGCTTGAAATCTTGATAGCTGGACTCAGGGAAGAATATTTAACTCGGCAGCTAACAAAGTACAAGTATTCCTCACAGCACTCCTTTTGAGACAACACTTATTGTCCCAAACCACAAATACTGGAATTACAGTAGAGAAATCAAAACCGTTTAGTGAGTTGAATCGGTGTCTGACCTGGGACCAGGGTCTTGGCTTTTCAAACTCCTTTTTGGCTCTCTAGTCACCTAGGATTATAAAGAACAAAATATGAAGGCATACCTGCAACAACATGCAGTTTCACTGATCGTTTCCAAAGCAATAGTGCCCTACAGCTCATGAACATTAAAAAAAAAAAAAAAGAAAGAAAAGAAAACCAAAGAAGAATTTTTGTGTCTGTGTAACCACAGTAGCGTTCACTTTCGCTGCCCGAGTACCTGCCTAGCTGACAGCCGAGCGCCGCGCCGAGCCCCCGCGGCTGCTCCTCGCAGAGGAGACATGGCAGCGGTGCCGCCCGGGGATGCACAGCGACACGGCTGCGGAGCGCACAGCGGTAGGGAATAAAAAACCCCCCTGCCGGCCCCCGCTGGGGTGTCTGTGCTCGCACCTGTGCCCGGCCCGCCCCGCCCGAGCGGCCGCGCCCCGCGGAGGGGCTGCTCCGGCGGCGGGGGCGCCGCGGCCGGGCCGGCCTGGCTCAGGAAGTGCCGGCAGGGGAGCGGCGGGGGCGGCCGCCGGGGGCCGGGCCGGGCTGGGCTGTCAGCGCGGCGAGGGGCAGCGGCGGCAGCGGGGGGAGCGGAGCGGAGCAGGTCGGAACAATAGCGGGCGGAGGGGAGGGGGCCGGCGGCGGCGGGGCTCGGCACTCGCACCCCGCCCCGGCCGCGCCGCCCAGCGCAGCCCAGCGCAGCCCGGGGGCAGCGCAGCCCAGCCCCGGGGCAGCCGCCCCGCAGGCACCGCGGAAGGGATGATCCGGGCGGCGCTCGGCTGGGCTCGCTGCTGAACGCGCCTCCATCCCTCCCTCCCTCCTCTTCTCCCTCCCTCTTTTTCTCTCTCTCTCTCGGCTCTCCTCCCTAACTCACTGGATATTACCAGCCGCCGGGCTCGCTGCCGCCTCTCCCCCAGCCATGAATCCCGCCGAAGGGGCGGCGGAGGAAGGCGCTGTCCCTGACTCCGAGGTGGATGCTTTCTTCCGAACAGGTAGGGGAGCTGCGGGGAAGGGGCCGGAGCAACACCGGGCCCTGCCTCCGCTGCGGGATGCGGGGCTGGCGGCTGCGGCGCGGGCACCGCCGGCAGTGGAGTCGCGAGTAGGGGAGAGGAGGGGATGGAGGGGGTCCCTGCCTGCCTCTTCGCTTTGTCTTCTTCAGCCCCTCGCGCGTCCGTGCCCCGGTCGCTTCTCCCGCCCCCGGGAGGATGTTACCCCGGGGCTGCGCTCCCACCGCCTCTGGAGAGGACCGGCCGGGCCCTCTCCCCAGGCAGGCACAAAAGCCCCGCGGGGATGCTCGGGGAGAGCTGCCGCGTTGTCACCCCCCGCAGGAGGCAGCGCCGGCTGGGCCCCGCCGGGCCCCCGCCCCGGGCGGCGGCACCACCCGGGTACCGGCCGGTGTTTGGGAGCGGAGCTGGCCGCCTGCCCTGCCCACCCCGCGCCAGCCGGGTGGAGCGCCGGGAGCTGCCCCTGCCGCCCTCGGGTGGGCAGTGAGGGCAGAGACGCCCCGGGCAGCGCTCGCCTGCAGCCTCGCTGCCGGCCGGGGAGGCTGACCCCGCGGGGAACGGCTCGCGAAGTATCTCAGGGCTGGGTGAGAGTCCTGTGTTTCGCTCTCCCGTTTCAGAGGATGCTGAAGTGGAGCCAAGTGTAGCTGGGCTACGGCAGAGCGTGGTGTTGCTAATGAAGCAGTGGTTAATTAAATTCTATGGGCAATAGCTACATGCTGGGGTCCCCACTGCATCACCCGTTTGTGGGGTGGTATTTGTGTGGGAGCCACCAGCACAGTATCAGCATCTCAGGTGAAGCAACTTGTGGTTTGCATGACACACCCCCCTTCTCTCCCTTCCCTCCATCAAAATCTTAAGAAAGTATTATAATCTTCTTGGTAGATTTTTAATTAAAAATTGTAAAGGATTAAATGCTTCTTTCACAAGGGCATTGACCTTTGTGGGCTAGGACTGACACTTATTGCCACAGCTGTTTGTCAAAACTCTGCTTTTCAGCTGTTTTCCTCCCTCTACCTGCTCATTAGCTACACATAGTGCTTTGAGCTCCACTTACCAAAAAGCGATTATGTAATCACCAAAACTTTAAAGAAGTAAAATCCTGAAGGCCTGCAGCAGCTCTCTGCTATGGTAGACTGCACCCCATTTATGTGAAAACCCTTTGATCTAGAGGATAAGTATAATAAGGTCTGGCTGTGTGTATCTTGTGATCCACAAGTCATTAAGCTATAGGATATTTGCTTGTTGATAGCCTACCTGGTTACAAGCTAATTTCCTAAGTCTCAACAATGACAGATTTGTTAGGGGAAAAAAAGAGAAAAATAATGCACCAATTTTCCTTTAAAAAACCCCCTGTTAATTAAGGTTTCCCTCCACCTTTTTCTTCTCTCCCCTTCTTCACCTCAGGCTGAATCACTTCTCTGCAACACTGCCCTCTCAACATAAGCACGTTAGCAGAATTGAATTTGGAGAGAGTCAAACCTAAATAGCTTATATGAAAAAGGTATTCCTAAATGAGGGAAAAACACAGGGAGGCATGTGGCTAGACATTTCTGCCAACCTGCCTCCTTCACTTGAAATTTCACCTGTAGATCCACAAATACACTTGTCACCTGCATTATACATTTAACATGGAGATTTCAGAGATTCTTCTAATAGTTCTGCTTGAGGAAACAAAATCGCAGGAACCTGGGCTTGGAAGGGGGGCCTAGGCCACATCCTTGCAGTGAAGCATGTATGTGTAGGCTGTCTCTGATGCTTGTCTCCTTTACATTAAGGTTCATCAAAGAAGATGGCAAAATTTAGGTTTCTGCACCATTATGTAGCATCTTGTGTCCAAAAAGATGATATGAAAAAAGCCAAAGTTATTAGTAGTTAATTTTGATTGTCATCGGTTAGAATGGCTGGGCAACATCTCTGAGAAATGGGGAAAGCACGAGAGCAGGCACGACTTGTGTGAAATGAGACTGTTGGTTCTCTGCATTGTTTGGGCCCCCTTCTCTTCTGGGGTTTGTGTGCTGCTGTTGTGCCTGTCTGAAGTTGGGTTAATGGATGGCTGAGAGAACAGCTCATGTGGGGCTTGAGGGAACAGTTGTAGCCAGGACACCACTGACTCTCCCGCACCTCTCAGGCTGGCAATAACAACCCTGCCTGAGTAGGGACTGTGAGACAGGGTCTGTTAGACCTGCAGAGACCTGCATTGACTTAGCATCCCTTCCCCCTTGGTATCATCTTTTTTTTTTAATTCTTTGTCCTGACTTATATTCCGGTTTTGTAAAGCATAACCATTGTCTTACATGCCGTTGTACATTCACATCAAATAAAAAATGAATCTGTGTGGTTTAAAGATTAGCTGCTCTAAAGGCACATGCATATACTAAACAGCCTAAACTCTTCCCAAATTCACAGCTACCACATGGAAAAGCATGAACTCATTACTCTCCGTGAAAAAAACAAGGGTCCGAGTAACTAATATCTCTCTCAGAGGCTTTTAGCAAGCGGTTGGGCTTTGCACTGAGCCAGGAGGATCGATAGGCTGCTCCCTGGTACCGGCAGAGGAGGCTGATGCTGGGAGTGGCGCCGCACGCAGAACAGCTCCCCCAGCAGCACCCAAACACTCGCGGTACCGGTCCCTTATCAGCGGCGACAATTGAGATAGCAGCTTTCTGAGCTGTACCTGGAAAGTCAAATTGAAAAAGTTAACACCAGGTAATAAAGGAAGGTCTGTTCTGGTGCTTAACACTGATGAGAACTAGGAATGACTTTAGAAAGAGGGTGGGTTTAACACCTGTGTGGTTGATGCTGGCAGTCAGTTAAACCTCCCTGGAGACAGGCAGGACAGGGACTATTCTAATTTTCACCATCAGATATATGTGGAAGGAATTCAGGAATTCTCCTTTAGACAATCAATCCCGTGTTATTGGGATAAAAATTAACAGGCAGAGGGACTTGAAGGGCAGAAATTACTATAGCAGTCTCCAGCTCTGATTTCTAGGATAACACTGGCTGCTGAATTACAGCAGTAATTTCTGTGTGATGTCTGTCGCTTCTGTTTGAGCTTATGTTTCAGTAAGAAACCAAATCTATGCCTAGGTATTCCTTATTAAGTTTCTTATGTCTATTTTGGTGACAGATAAAATATGAGCAAGTTCTCTGGAATTCTCAGTAGTCTATATTTAATGTGTACTGAGACTTCTATATTGCAAGGAACAGAATCCAAATACTTATTGTTTCAAACATAAAGTAAGTCACTTCGTAAAGTGCACAAATGATAGATATCCCTTGGATACAGACACAGAGGGAAAGTTTTCACTTCCTGCCTAAGCTGCAGTAATTTATGCAATGTGTTTTGGAAACAGAGGTGAAACACGTAAGGAAACCCTTTTCCAAAAGTTTAAATATTTACAGAGGTCAGAGACAGAACAATTTAGCAAACTACCAATTACTAACAAGAGTAATCATCAATATTTCTTATCCACTATTAGGTACAGTTTTATTTTCTAATTTATTTTTCTGGCACTTAAGTATAGCATTGATTGTGTCTGATACGAAGATGCCAGCTTTGTCATTGATACTTCCTGTGTGTGAGTCGAAAATTGATGTTCCATCTCCTTTGAACGCGATGAATTATTCTGTTTGCTTTCTGCTTTTCATCTGGTTATACTTCTAGCATTGTTCATTTGTGCATGAGTGACTGGCAGCTCTGCTATTAAATAACTTTAAAATAATTGGCAATGGCCAGGCTGTTTGATCAATAGATGTGCTTGAGATGATGTCTGCAGAGAAGTGCTCCTCGAGGTTGATGGACTCAAGTGTCTCCTCGTAGAGCAGGTAAATTGATTCAGTCGAGTTGTCACTGGGGGTGAGGTGTTTGTGTGATGCCTGGCTTCCTCACCTTGAGACTTTTTAATTCATAAGGCCTGGTCTGGCAATGTGTGCTGATAAAGGAGGCTCTGTTGCAGAAAAGAGCCAGGTCTTTCCTACCACTTGGAAAGCCCTTGTGTTCTTTGAGGTGATGCTGTTAATTAAAAGCTGTACCATTCTCTGGAGGCTTTGACCTCTGACCCTGTCAGGAATGTGAGTTTTGTTGTTTTCTTTCTTTATTGTCTAATGCAGGTGTTTTTTGTTTTGTCATGTGATTGACAAGGGGGAAAAGGACAGTTATCTCACTACATGTGGGGCCCCAGAAGCCTCTTGTCACTGGATACCCCAGTGCACATGGAAGGCTGTGTGGCTCTGCCCTGCTGTTGTCCCATCTTCTCCACCTCAAGACTCTGAGGCAGCTCTGCTAGTCTGGGAATTCACGTCTAGACATGGCAAAGGACATAAAGGTGAATCAAGAGGTCTTGGTGAGATGGCTGTCCTCTTCCCCCTCTCACCATGCAGATGCTGCTCAGAAATGGGGCAGAACCTGCTGGTTAGTGGGGTCTTGTGACAAAAAATGGATCTCTTTTTGTCTGATGCTGAAAGGGCACAATTTAAATGAGTGATTCATATTCAGATAATAATTTCTTTCCTATACTACGTATCCTTCTTCCTCACTCAGAAGGGCATCAGGGATGACATCTGATAGTTATTTACAATGTGTTTGTTCAGGATGCGATTGCATTGTGTTATAGGCCAGTAGAAAGATACTTATTGTGTTTGATATTAATTCAATTAATATTGAACAGAATTACTTCCAGAGGAAGGGACCTTTCACACCCAGCTTCTGTTCAGAGCTCATGCGTACGGAAGTTCACAATCTCTGATTTCCAGGACAGGGTGCAGTAGGAAACATAAGCCCATAGCACAGACATTAGTGAAGTGCACAGGCACACAAAGTTCGATGTGGCACCTACAGAAGCTGTTGGTGGGGGCCTGTTGCCTGTGCTGTGTTTTGGGGTTGGAATTCTGAAAGAAGAAAATTGTATTCTTGAAGTCATCAAAAAGGAACAAGCTTTCTAGTGTTTGTGTAGACTATTTTGCCTGTGGCCTTAGATGGCCATGTG